AGGGCAGGAGACAAAAGAATACCTGTTTTGAATCACTGAGGACTATTACTGTAACAAAGTACAAGATAACATTTCGCCAGAGGATACAAGAGATTCTTAGAGGAGAAACAATGAAACCAGACAACCTTTCTGTCATCTTATCAAAAACTGCTTGGGGTACTTACTGAACAGTGGGGGGGGGCAATAATAGCAAATAGAGAGCAAACACAGTTAATCTTTGCACAAAGGCTTTTTGATAAGTAATAAAATAGAGTCAAGAGTGGCATGCTGGCCTTAGCCAATTCACGTTGCTTAGAAGAAAGGATATAAGACAGGCCTAAATAATTTTAAAATAAACAAATCCAAACACAACAGAGGAATGTTGCATGAATGAATTTCCTCATTCTCCTTTTTCAAGCAATTCAAGAAGCAATCAAAGCACTCTGAGGTCTGCTACACTTTTACATACTTTTTTTGACACATTGCTTTACAGAACCTTCACAACAGCCCACTATCAGTAGCTTTGGTGTCACTGTATGGTATGTAAATGGAATAGGCAGATCTTTGACATAAAAATAATAATCTGTGGTAAAATTACAGTACTACAGTGTATCATAGCATCAGAACTATGGAAATATTAATACATGGATCTTTGACAATACAATGTAAGATGTCACTCTGAGCAGTTATTATGCTAATAACGAATACTTATTATAAAACAACATGAAAGAGGTAAGCTATGTGGGTGTAGGAAGGGATATTTAGTATTCAGAAAATGTATTTAAAAGGGAAAAAACAGCAATTGCTTCATACAGCATCTAATCCCACATTAGGCAGATGAGGAGTTCCCTGGCAGATGGGTGTCAGGGTACCCTGGGACTTGGATGAAGCAGCACATTATCTCTCAAGGGAGCATACATGCCAGTATAATTTACAACATCCTTCGAGTTTGTTTTTGTTATGCAGTGGGCCAAACTGGGACCGAAATCATGAAGACAGGGGGAAAAGCAGCACTAGGGCTTTGAGGATTAACTAGGAAAACTGCTCATCAAGTCCAGCAGGGTTTCAAGAAAACATATTCTGCTCCATGCTCACTGACTTCAAAATAAAATAAAATAAATTCCAATACTAAAGAAAGAATTAAACCACAATGAGGAAAACATCTCATATCAAATTCCCTATACAAAGCAAGCAATCCCTATACAAGACAGCATCCTGACTTGTTCCCTGTACAAGACAGCGTCATGACTTGTTCCATTTAAGATACAAGAAAGTGTCCATTAGTATTTTAAAAAAAAATTAGTAAGTCTATTAAATGTTGCATTTAAAGCCAAAGAAAATATTTACAAAGAGTTTGTAATATAAGGAGGAATCTGAGGAAAGAGAGTCTCTGTTTGCCTGATGGCAAAAGAGTAAATTTGTCTAGGGTTTTTCTAGTTGCAAAAGGAGCAAATTATAGATATTCCACATTAATTCTCACCTGGGCTTTTTTATTCTGCGCTTTTTTATTCCCTGTTTTCCACCTAATCTGAACTACAGAGTCACTCCAGGTGCAGAATCACCCATTTGGCACAGAACTACTACTCTAAATTCAAATCTTAGAAAAACCTTTACAAAAACTTCCATACCACTGAAGCCAACTGAAGTCATTCTCATATTTACAAATACATCCCTCAGCCCTCAAACACAAATGCCATGTTTGTGAAGACAGAGCAAAAGATGCAACACTTCAGGCAGCAGCCATAAATAAAATTCTTACACACAAAAACACAATCCATTTCAAGCAGGAATGTGCTGCAGCTGTTGGAAATACCTGTCCTTCAACATTAAGCCTTGCAAGGATAATGCTTAGCTGCAATCTAAACCTTGGTGATTGCAGCAGAACAACCAGAAGATGTGTGATTACTTATTGCACCTCCCAGTCAGGGAGAGGGAAATATGCCACGTAGCTAACATGCAGGTACAAGGAATCACTTGTCTCAAAAAAACCCAGGGAATTATTTGGATTTGCTTACAGTTGCAAGGACTCATTCACATTTCTGTATACAGATGCATCTCCAGGACAGCTGCACTGACCATAGACTAGATCACAGATCCTTCTTTTAATTACTTGGCAGTTTCCTGGGCCAAGTTTATTCAACCATTCAGCCATGCACCACCTATCTTTCCCCCTCTTTCAGATTCCTACAACTCTTCCAGTTAAGATGCACACTTCCTGGAAACTTTATGGCCTTTTACATGGTTTAGTTACCTTCTGTGGTATAAAGAAGGCAATGGCCACCTGCAAAAGCTATCAACAAGAACCTGGGAGCCTGCAAACTAAAAGTTACTGCTTTACTACCACAGTAGCAATAGACAGTTGTGACCAGCCACTGCTGTGTTCAAATCCCTGACACCTCCCAATGTACAACTTGTCTTTCCCCTACTTTTCATTCTGAACTTAATTACTGCCCAACATACTATGAACAAGATTTGGACAGTGGTATTTATCCAGCAGAAAGCACTACTGCTATCATCAGTTAGACCTGGAGCAGGCTGGGAAGACGACAAGAATAGAAGGCATATAGGAGAGAAAGCACTAAGTTTTCCACTGTACACACCCTTTAGAGATGAGCAGATGGGGG